CTCCCCAACCCCTCTGTTTTTTCCAGAACAACCTTCAAGGAGTTCGCGGAGAAACACGGCCGAGATCAGCGCTTCCGCCTCGTCCCGAAGAAAAAGGACCAGGAGCATTTCTTCAATCAGTTCATTCTTATTCTCAAAAAGAGGGACAAAGAAAACAGGATAAGGCTACGGAAAATGAGATAAGAGCGACTGAAACCGGCAATAAAGACACGAGCCCAGGCTGTGGCTGCAGGAAGGGATTCCARGGAAGGAGGAAACGTTTGGGATCTGACAGCACCTCCAGGAGTGGGAGATCCCAAGGGAAAAATGCCTCCAAACGGAGTTTATGAGCCATCCATGGGATCTGGGAARGCTGTTCTGCAGGAATGGGAAGGATATTTTTGTTCTCAAAGAATTAATGTTTCATATTGAAGCTCTCTTTTGTACAACATCCAGAGTTTGATGCATTTCTAATTGCCATGATATGTGGATCCCTTAATTGTTTTAATTATGCAAATTACTTGTAATATACACAAGTTATGAATCCAATGCAGATTTATAATTAAGCAGAAGCAGATGCCATCCAGAGCAATCTCAAGGCATTTCCATCATTTAGGGGAATTATCTCAAGCAATCTTTTGGCATTTCCACCGAGCTGCGGGGTCTGGTGGTGTTCAGGATCCCCTTCCTGCTGCTCATCCGTCTCTGTCCAGTCCTCRAGTATCGTGATCAGCTATTAATTGTTAATCTTGGTGAAGAGTGTGGCAATGCTGGCAAATGTCCCACAGGAGAGCTCTCCTGGGCCGTCCAGCCCCGCTTCTTTGTGAAGCCATCCCCSTCGCATTCGGGTTCTGTTCCTGTGTGTGAAGAGTCTGCATGAGATTTTTCTCATCATATTTGTATAAATAAATATTTAACTTTTTTAATGAAGCGGCGTTTCAAGCCTGATTTCACGGGGCGTTTCAGGGGCGGAACTTTGTGGGGTTTTTTTTTATGCCAGGAGTGTTTGGACAACGCTCTCAGGGACAGGGTGGGATTGTTGGGGGGTCTGTGCAGGGCCAGGGGTTTGGATATCTGCATCACTTCAATTTTCAATGTGGAAAGAGAGAACATTGCAAAGATGGAATGGTTTTAATGGTTTTAGTGGTTTTAACGGTTTTGACAGTTTCAATGGTTTTAGTGGTTTTAATGGTTTCAATGGTTTTCAGGTTTTAATGGTTTTTAATGGTTTTTAACGGTTTCAATGGTTTCAATAGTTTCAATGGTTTTAATGGTTTCAATGGTTTTTAACGGTTTTAATGGTTTCAGTGGTTTCAATGGTTTTAGTGGTTTCAATGGTTTTAACGGTTTGGTTTTAGTGGTTTTAATGGTTTTTAATGTTTTTTAATGGTTTTTAACAGTTTCGATGGTTTCAATAGTTTCAATGGGTTTAATGGTCTCAATGGTTTTAGTGGTTTCAATGGTTTTAATGGTTTTAATGGTTTTAGTGGTTTCAATGGTTTTAACGGTTTCAATGGTTTCAATGGTTTTAGTGGTTTCAATGGTTTTAATGGTTTTAATGGTTTTAGTGGTTTCGATGGTTTTAACGGTTTCAATGGTTTTAGTGGTTTCAATGGTTTTAATGGTCTCAATGGTTTTAGTGGTTTCAATGGTTTTAATGGTTTTAATGGTTTTAGTGGTTTCGATGGTTTTAACGGTTTCAATGGTTTTAGTGGTTTTAATGTTTTTTTAATATTTTTAATGGTTTTTAATGGTTTCAATGGTTTCCAGTTGAACCACCAGCATAGAGAAAACAGCCCTGAGACCAACACCCGACCAGAACCCCAAATAACCAGTYCAGGACAGGGAGAGCAGCTTTGTTTGGAGCTGTTTGGGTCACTGGGAAGGAGAAATGAACAGGAACAGGAAATGAACGGGACACTGAAAATGGGGACAGCAGTAATTAAAAGCTAAAYGAGGGTGGGATGGGCTGCCCAAGGCTGGAATTTGTAAATTTGAGTTTCAATAAAATGCCATAATGGCTGTGAGTGRTGCTGGGTCAGAGGAGCAGGTTGTGTGCTCAATCCTTAGCTGGGTTATTTTGGTCTGAGCCCGAGATGAACAGGAGGACAAATCAAAGGTGATAATGYCATGTGGCTTTTCTTTATTCAGGAAAAAATGCAAAATCCTTAGGGAACAAATTCCAAACAATGTGGGCAGTCTGAAGATGGAGAAGGGGTTGTTTTTGAGAGGTTTGAGTGACTTTGGGATGGCTTTTTCTCTGTTTTCCAGCCTCCCAACAAGGCTGCAGATTTTTGGGTGAACATTTAGTGGTTCAGCAAGAGTTAAAGCCATTCTTTCCCCTCTTTTTTAAGTACTTTGTGATTTTTTTTTTTTTTTTAA